GATGTACAAATGCGCTTTACACAATTGATGTGTGTATGGATTGGGATAACAGTTGTATGAGCCCCTAATAAAATGCTAAAAAAGAAAAAAAAAAAGAAAAGAAAAGAAAAAAAATAAATAAATAAAAATGTGCTAAAAAGCTCGGCTTTATACAAGTATATACGGTAATTGAGGATGGTACAGGACCAGACAGGAGTAGAGGATAACAGAGTTACTGTCCTGGATATAGTTTCTGTTGGAAAAAAATGTAAAAAGAGCTGGAAACTGATGAGTGATAGTCACAATAACCTATGAATCATACCACCCCAGAATCACACACTCAAAAATCTTGACTATGGTTGTAATGCACGGTTTTATATAGGCTTTCTGGCCTGGAATTTGCAGTTCTGCCAAGCGATTTGCTAAGCTACAAATCTTGCAAAGGGATAGGACAGTTTACTATGCCAACAGAGTAATAAAGTTCATAAAAGGATTGGACAGATTATGCATATAAGATGTAATAAACCCTTGTAAGGACTGAATCTGGGCTCTACACTATGCTAATGAGGCGACTATAGCCTACTGAGGGAACTGGTAGGTTCATGGTCTTCATGGGAGTAGGCTTGTACGGTAAGGGTGACCTCACTACCACCAAGAACCTAGGGTGCAGGGTATCCTTTGGACCTAGGAGACAGAACCATAACACTGGAGACCAGGTACAACAACACGGGACAGTAACAGCAGTAGGATGCCAAGTGGGATGCTCATGGGGTGGATGCCACTGGCTCACCTCAAGACTGCTACTCTTCAGTTACTTTAAGTCTTTAGAACTCATTGTGTATTTACTGTTTACCAGCTGTCAATTATGAACCCAGTCTAAGAATCTGTGTGGGGTCCACGGGGACAGAGAGTAGAGTCCTCACCAGTCTTACTACTGCTTGTACTTCTGAGGCAACAAGTCACAAATGTTTAAAGTAGCAATATTCATAATAGCCTCAAAGTGACAATATCTAAATGCCCAGCAGCTGAGAAACAAAGGAGAAACAAAATATAGTCTAGCTAGATAGCAAAATATTGAGCCCAATAAAGGGAATGAAGTACTGATGCACATAACATCATGAATGAACCTTGAAGCCATCGATCCCAAACGAGAAGCCATACACAAGGCCACACAGTACCCTACGATTCCGACGATGTGAATGCCCAGGACAGGCAAGTTCAGAAACGTCCTGGAATTAAACGCCGGTGATGGTTGCACATGGTGCGTTTACTAAAAGCCACAGGCATGTACACTTTTAAATGATCGGCTTTATGTGACGTGAAGTATAGCTCAACAAAATAATATCTCTCAATAATTCCGACCCTTAATGACATTGGCAAAAACTAAAAAGTTTGACAGTAAAATCTGTGATGAGACTTTGGACAAACAGGCACGACGATAGGAATATAAAAAGGTACAAATTCAATAGATGGGAATTCGGCAACATTTAACAAAATAACATGTGTTTTCACCCTTAACTAGTAATTCCAGATTAGAAGATGCATTTGCACAAGGTTATTCATTGCAAACATTATTTGCAATTGGTAAACAGCAAAAGCTATCCACATGCCCACACACAAAGAGATTGGGGGAATAAATTGTGGCACACATACACAATGGAGTACTACAATGTGCCATTTTAAAAATTAAATATAAACAGCTATGAACTGATTTCTGGTATATAAAAAACCCAACCAAGCTCATCATAGTGGCCCTGTGAGACGAGTAGAAATGCCCCTGTGGGTTTTCCTAGATCCCCTGGTACATCTTTCTGAAACTACTTCATAGATTTTATAGGAGTGAGGAAGCGTGCTCCGTTATTGGGAGTCATGGCTCTCCCTGTCTAAGGGGGGAGCTGGGAATACCAAAGAGAAAGAACAAGAAGAAAAGAGTAGCAGTCAAAGGAAGCACTGCGAACTCATTTCTAATATATCTAGTTGTTGTCTGCCGAAAGAAACCAAGAAAACCCTGGGGCTAGGAGCACACGTGCCCCCAGATCCTGATTTCCCATGGAAAGGAACAGGGGTCAGGGAGCAATGTCCAATTCCAGAATTGGGGCAGAGACAATACAAGAACATCTTCTTGTTACCAAAGGGTGAAGAAGGCAGTGTTCATGATTATAACAATGGTGGTGGTAGTGAGGGCATGTAGAAAACATGACATAGTAATTAGTTTGAAGGCTCTTATACACCAATCTAGAACATGAGCATCAAAACAATTAAGGGTAAGACTTACTTGTAAACCACTGAAAGCAACAGATACAAAAATTCTGCCCATGCCGAGGCTGAATTGGACAGCAAGCTGGAGTAGAATGCTGAGTGATCTATGTTCACGGGAGTGCTGGAGCTGGAAAATGACTATTTTGTAGCCATCAGAGTAAAACAGGGCTCAGGAAAGAAGAATGACCAGGTGTGAAATCTAGAACAGTGTTTGATGAGGACCAGGAAATTTGCATATTCTTCAAGCAATTGCATATTAGTTGCAAGAGGGAAACTATTAATTCTGTATTAGATAATACTTCACCTAGGTGATGAAATGACATCACTAAGGCATGGCATGCCATCCTTACATGGCATTCCAGACAGGAAGCAAAGATCGGAGGATCTGATCCCTTGCAAAAAGGTGTGCTACTCAAGTGAACCATGAAATCATGCAAATCAAGAGGTTCAAGTTTTCAGGTCCTTTTAAAGAATATTCATCAAACTGCCCATGCCATCAAGGGCATGGATATCCAAATATCAGAGATGCCATTTGGCAGGGGCAGTATGTGCTGTGCCGATGTACCAATGGTGGAGTGGATAGATGCACCCAGGCCAGGGGCTCCTAAAGAATGCCGACTCTTTGCTGAACATGCTTCAATGGGCTGCCTGCCACGCTTACAGAGGCGCTCACTGTCAGATCAATCCATACATACACTCTGCCTGCCACATGGAGATGATCCTTACAGCAAAGAAACAAACCGTTCCTAAGCCAGATGAGGAGACACAGAAGAAACCGAAGAAACAAAAATGTGCGCCCTGGGAATAAATTAAGCCCTGAAAAAGGACAGCACGTTTGGTAGAGGGTCGGCAAAAAGGAGGAGAGCCCCCCTCAAATGACATGGGCTCACACGCAGTCCCGAGGGTGGGGACACTGCAGACGTTGGCAGTACTTCACTCTGTTGCGCACAGGGTTGCCGTGGAACATTATGGCAACAACCCCCTAAGAATTTGAACAACAGAAATACTACAAAATTTGAGGAAGTTTTATGAACATCCTGAAAGACACAATAGCGTTAAGACAAGCAAAAGATGGGATCGTTGGCACCACTATAAAAGAATTCTCCGAGGGGGTTCCTGCTACACCTTGCCTGTGAATCAACAAGGATTTTCCAAGGAATAAATTACTCACATGGTTTCATTACTGGTGGGGCCTTTTCCATCAGATAGTCCATTCTGCCCATTCTAATATTTGGTACAAAAGGGTAGCATGTACTTATGTTTTAAGGTTTTCACCCACATTTCATATTACAACTGTGAAGTGAAATTTTTGATCAACCTAAACAATAAAAATCGTTAAGTGTATTTTGCAACTGATTTATAAGCTAAATTTACATTAAATGAATGAACCCCAAACCCTGTCATGTAGTAGTGTTTTCTAATTCAGAGTTGCCCTGGGCAGGGTAAATCTTTCCAGTCTTCTGTTTCTCCCTGGAGGTGCTGGTGCATTTAAACTGCCAGTCTTACGGTTGGCAGCCCAGCACATAGTCCACAGTGCCACCTGGGGTCCTTATATCAAATAAAAGCCTCCTTAAAATACACCTTTTAAACTTACCTTTCTTTATGCACCATGTAAAGTTGGACTAAAATCTTTTGCATTGTGACATGAATGTGATTAATCTGAAACAGACCTGGCAAACAATTCTGTAAAGCCTTCTCTACTCTGCATATGAAACCCCAAAACTGATTGTGCTTCCATTCCAAGCCTAATGGTGTTACTGATAGCCTCGACCTTCGTTAGAGAATCCAGAAAATGGAAAGGACTTCTAAAAACAGTAACTATTTTCAAAAGAGTAAAATGCGAACACAACTAATTATTCAGCAAACCTCTTTACTCTCTTACTCTAGAGAGGGCTATATGCAGTGTAATTATTAAAAACAAAGCCAAAAACCTTTAAAGAGGGATTTTCAACTGTGAATGCACATTAGTATTAGCTGGAAGGTTTAAAAGCCCAGATGCCAGGACATGCTCTAGACCAATCATTAAGAGGTTTTAAAGCTTCCAAGGGGACTGTAATTTACAACTGAGATTAAAAGACAAACTGTTTTAAGAAGAAATAATCCCCAAACACACATTTAAATACACATTTCTTTTCAAACGTAATACCTTTAGAAGCTAAAAGTTTATTCCAGAAATGCTCACATCTTTTTTAAGGCTCTTTTAAAAAACTGCTTCGATGCCCCTAGAGGCGTTGCAGCGTGGCCACCCTGCCACAGCTGTGTCATCCATCAGAGGGCAGAGAGAAGAGGAACCATGGCTAACCTCAGGGGTCTGACGTGACCACCTGACTGACTGCTAGCCCTACAGTCCTATTGCACATGGGCCACCTGGGGAACCCCAAGGGGGAGGGGGAGAGTGGTTCCCCAATAAGTCAGTTTGCAAAGTGACAAGGCCCTGGCAACTAGATGACAGTGCATGTCCTCGGGCCCAGCACACACGTCGGCTGGTTAACTTAATGTAGGGTCCTCAAGCTTTTTAAACAAGGGGACCAGGTTCACTGTGTCTCAGACCCATTGGAGGGCCAGACTATAGTTTTAAAAAAAGCTATGAACAAATTCCTATGTACACTGCACATGTCTTATTTTGAAGTAAAAAAACCACAATGGGGCAAAAACACACGGCAGGCCGGATAAATGTCCTCGGTGGGCTGCAGTTTGAGGACCCCTAATTTAACGCATGAAGGCAAGTGATGTCCTGCTCGTGGGCACTGGCCAGAGTCACTAACTGACCACCACCATTCTGCCAAGACTCAGCCGCACACCACGGTACAGACTGCAGGAGCCCCCACTCCATGCCAGGAGCACATCCCACTGTGACAAGCACAGAAACTGCAGGAGGGTGCGACAGCCTCGGTGGGACACAGGCAGAGTTCGTCAGGTGTGAACTGAAGATGACCCTGTGTCTGTCCCCACACAGGCCGCCAGCTGAGGGGGCTGCTGGGAGGATGGTGGGGTCTGGCAGAAGCTAAGTGGAGAGGGCATCCTTTGGAAAGAATAAAGTGAACTGAAGGTGGAAAAAAAGAATAAAGTGAACTGAAGGTGGAAAAAAACAAACTGCTTTTGATTTGTACTTTAGTCAAACGGTCATATAAATCCCAGTGCTGCCATTTATTAATTCTACGGTTGTGGGTAAGGAGCTTAACCGCTCGGTGTTTCCACTTCCTCATCTATGAAACTAGAGGACTGAGAGAAAAATTGGGTCATCTATAAAATGCCCACACTTCTCATCATCACCACACTAGGCAAGAGGACATGAAAGCAGAGACTACACTGGACCAAACGCAAACCCAAACTCACCGCCACTGAGCTTATTCCAACTCACAGTGACCCTAACAGGCAGAGTAGAATGGCCCGTGTGTTAACGCCTAGTACAGACTCTAGTACAGGAAAGAGAGCTTACTAATGTGCTCAATAAATTAAACAACACTTATTTCAAACAGGAACAAACCTGCAAGCCTTGCTTTGTCGTGAAGAAGTCAGAAGCGCCAGCATCCGTAGCCAGCAATCCCACAAAGTGCATCGCCGGCCGCTGCCGAATAAACAGTTCTACATCTCGGTCGGTGATGCCATTGCCCCCTGAAACATCCAGCGACACGAGATTGGGTAGGATGTCCTTCTGCTGTAGCAAATGAAAAGCAAGGTCTGAGTTGAGCTGGCTGTGGTGAGAAATATCCAGGTGAAGCAGGCATCTCAGTTCTCTGAGGACAGCGAGAATGTGTGGTTTGGTCATGGTCAGGCATTTCAGATGGTGCATGGTGAGAGATTTCAGTTGATTCTTACAGGCGCGGAGAGCAGAAATGTTGGTGACCAGGGTATTGGATATATCCAAGCTCTCCAGTCTTGGTAACCGGGAGACATTAGCTAGGTCTTCATTACGAAAGCCAACATTGAAAACACTTAAAACTCGGAGACCAGTGAGCTGACCAAAGAAGAGCTTTCTTGAATCATCAGAGATTCCTGTGGAGTCCAACAGGAGACACTGAAGGTTCTTCTGGATCCAGATGTTGCTGCACAGCCCACTGATGATGTCTTGGATTGGAAGGTCTGTGTGCACGGCCGTGGCATCCAGTTCAATGAGCTTGTGATGGCAGAAGGCTTTGAGGAATGCAGCTGGAGACAGTTTTGCTTTTTGGATATTGGCCAGCTTGAGTTTCATCTGGTCGCCTTGGAAAATGCTCGCTGTTTTGTCAGTCAGCTTGCCTACAAAAGAACCAAAATCAGCTTTTAACGACAACTGGGTCCCGTGCCTTTCTGAGTTGCGCTGTGGCCAATGAACAGGGGCAAAGGCAGTAGCTACTCATCATTATATTCAACTGCTTACTCGTGTAACGCATTGCTCTAACCCCTTTCTTGGAATACATCTTATACTCTTCGCAATAATTTCATGAAGCTACTCTTCTTATTCCTATGATATAGCCGAGGAAACAGAAGTTTAAAGGAGTTAAGTAACTTGACCAAGGCCAATATATGTGGATCAACTGAACTATGGAATGACATATGTATTAAATCCAAATTATACATTATATTATACATTAAATTATACAGTGAACACTCGTTTATCGCGGTTAATCGGTTCTAGACCCTACCATGATAAATGAAATTCCGCGAAGTAGGATTCCTTATTTGTAAATCAAATATTTTCGTAGTTAGAGCATAGAGGACATGAAAAAACACCCTTTAGTCACCATTACACTCGTATTACCCAATTTATTAAACGAAAAAGGGAAAATACAATAAAACATTTTGGACGTTACAATTATCATTTATTATTTGTTATATTATTTATGGCATCAAGCGTGTACAGTATGAGCCAATCAGTGGCAGTAATGACAGAGCATGCGCTGTTACGCAAAAAGCGCAATAGAGTGAAGCCGCGGAAGTTGAAGCACGAAGTGGCGAGGGTTCACTGTATATCTACGGATTACAAGTCACACCCAGTTTGACGCTAAAGTTTACTTGTACAGTATGTCAATGACGATGTTCAGAGTATAAGAAAACCCTAAAAAGATATACTCACCACCAACCCACCAGTGCCACTGCATCCATTCTATCTCACAGAGCCTGTAAGACAGAGTACAACTGTCCCCTACGGTCCCAAGGCTGTAAATCTTTATGGGATGAGAGCACCCCAACATTCCCCCACACTGCTGACCAACGTGGAACCCCCTATGCCACCCAGGACCCTGAATTAGGTCCAGGGAGTACACAACAGTGGATGCTGTGTGAGGTGTGCAGTACTGAATGACCACAGATTAGGAGTCATTCCGTTGCAGGGGGGCGGGGGTGGTGGTAGAGGTGAAAGGTAGAAGACTGTATGGAAGACAGGAGAGCATAAGAGGGCAACGTCTAGAGCAGCACTAAGTAGGTCAGCCCCTCCGAGAACACAGCACATCAGGGGAGGCACAGTGGTGACGAGTGAAGAGGAAGCCACAGCTGGCCAGTTCTGTAATGCAAAGCTAATCAACTCAGACTACTGCCCTGTGGATAATGAGGAACAACGCTAGATTTCTAAACAGACAACAATGATCAAAACGGCCACTTCAGAAGGACCAATGGACATCAGTAGTCTTTGACAAGTCACTTAACAGAGCCACTCTCTGAGCCTCACTTTCTTCATCTGCAAAATGAGAATGAGAAGGTGTAAAGGAGCCGAAGCAGTGTTAGACGGGGATAAGCAATTTTAGTGATTATTAATGATGAGAGACTGTCTTCACAACATTGAGGGCAGGAGACAAACTGTCAGAATAAATTTTTTAATGCCTCTGAAAAACAGTCAAAGGGTTTGTATTAGTCTAGGTACTTTAGAGAAACAAATCCACAGCAACTCATTTATAAGAGAGTTTTATGTAAAGAAAGTGTGCATCACGAAAATATCCCAACCCAATGCTGCCCAAGCCCACAAGTCCAACATTAACCCATTACCC